CTGATTGGCAAGAGCTTGATGTTAGTATAAATATTTATTAAGAATAATAATAATAATAATAATTAATAATAATAAATATTTACTTCTTTTAGATGCTTGTTACATTACTTGAACTAATTTATCATACAACAAACTTTCTTTCTTCATCAAGCTATCCAACACTTGGAGATCTTCATAAGGTGTTCTCTATTACTGCAAATACAATAAATAATATCCAGAATGATAATAATATATTACAACAAATTGCACCAAAGATGAAAAAAATTAGATAAATATTGGGACAAGCTTAAAACTACCTTTAATAAAGCTGTAATTCTTGATCTAAATAATAAGCTAATGCTATTCAATAATGAAGAAGAAAGGTGTGAAGCACAGGCATGCTATTTATACAACTTATAAAACAAACTATGCAATCAGAAGCAGTGGTATTTTGATAACAGAACCCTCTGGATCAGAAACTTCTCATAGTTATTTTCATAAGAAATATGGTGTATCTATAAATCATGATGATATTCTTAAAGAATATCTTGATTTACCTGTTAAAGAAATTAATATTCTTGATTACTGGAAAAATAAATCTAAAAATTTTCAATGAGTTCAAGTGACAAGTGTGGCAAGCGAACAAATGTTCAGCATAGACAAATGTTCAACATAGACAAATGTTTAGCATAGACAAATTTACTATTAGTCAAACTAGAAATGTCTTGAGTCAGAAAAGGCTTGTGCTTCTCTTTGTCTTAAAACTTGGTTTGCAACAAGCTTAATAAAGTATGTAGAAGAAAATTAAAGCAGTACTAAAAAAATAAATCAAATTAAATAAAAGTAGTGCTAAAAAAATGAATAAAATAAAATAAAGTATATGGTTATTTTTGCTTCAGAGTATTGAAAAAGATTATCAATCTAAATTTGTATAACAAACTATTAAAAACTAGTTAGATTTAGTTTATGTAGTGCACTGCCAATTCGGAACTGAAACAGTCTATTTTAACTGAGTAGATTAGAGGGTCCACCAAAATTCAGCAAATCGGCCTGAATTTGGGTTGGAATAGGCCGGAATTAATAAATTTTTTCTAAAATCACCCAAAAGTTTACTAATAAAGTGGCAGCCTATGCACTAAG